CTACGCACATCCTCTTATCTACTCACTACCAATTACCACTGCAATCGCTTGTCACTCATTCTGCCTCAGTTCTAGTAGCGGTGACGCATGCGAGCCTCAGTCGTTTACACTCTCGCTCCCCGGCGTGTGGGACCGCAGCTAACAATTATCTCCGTGTGCATTTCATTCTCAGCAATAGCCTAGCCTCCCAGGCGTATACGCCCCTTACAATCATTGAAGGTCTTCCAAACCTTTGACGTAATACGCTCATAGCCTCAGCGTATCCCTCATTAGGGGCATGAGCTCACAGCACTGTATAGCTCTTGCAGCATCTCCAGTGCAACACCTCATCAAATACATCAATTTCATTTCATCACTTAATAAAAAACTACTCAGCATGATCTCGAACTCCTTTACAAATTGTAAATAATCAGCCGGGTTTCCATCGAAACATCGTGGTTCTAATTTAGGGAGTTTGATGTTCCTATTATCCCTGAACGGCGAAACAGTAACATCAACCATGTCATGCTTAACATCAGACACATCGTTACAATTAACAGACAAGTCACCATGACTTACTTTCCTGTTTGCATCCAAGACGCTCTGTCCCTTCTTTGACCCAGGCATTGTTGAACTTGGCCCGATTCCAAAAAGTTCCAGATATTGCTTGTTGAAAGAAGACTTGACCGGCACCAGGAAAGATGAACGGTGACTATCCAAACTGTTACCAGCTATCTGAATCGGCCAGAATCTGTTTTTACCATCAGAAACTGTCAGCCACGTCTCATAAACCGTTAATGCCCAGCTCTTGCTACGCTCGGGCCCACGCTGTTCCTTGAAGTTTTTCAGAAACGCTTAGTTATATCGGACGAAAAAACCAAAAGACCAATTGGTGACTCGTGGATTCTTTATTGTTACACCAACATATAAAAATAATATTTGAACTAAGGTTTCTGATGGTTTACTGCTGACTTCTTTCTGAACAGCGACCAATGAGACGATGACTGTCGTATTGATGCCTCCGCGAAAAATGTGGAAGTTGATTTTGAGCAAACAACCAAGAATTGATCGTTCAATCTTCAACTGCATTGACACTCCCCGGGAAAAAAGGGATCCATCCCCTTTTGTCTTCACGACCATGACACGTTGACTTGGATGCCATTGCGAGAACCTGGGTCACATGGACAGAGCTGAAATGGAAAACAAACAGAAAGGCCAACACACCACAAGCATACCCACAGCACAATCTCACACATCGCTGACGACCTGCGCCTCCAGATAGAGACCTCCTCTTGACATCTTGCAACACAATCACCACTTGCTAGAATGACTTTTGCAGAGTGCAACGTGACCATAGCACCAACTCATGATACTCTACGCACATCCTCTTATCTACTCACTACCAATTACCACTGCAATCGCTTGTCACTCATTCTGCCTCAGTTCTAGTAGCGGTGACGCATGCGAGCCTCAGTCGTTTACACTCTCGCTCCCCGGCGTGTGGGACCGCAGCTAACAATTATCTCCGTGTGCATTTCATTCTCAGCAATAGCCTAGCCTCCCAGGCGTATACGCCCCTTACAATCATTGAAGGTCTTCCAAACCTTTGACGTAATACGCTCATAGCCTCAGCGTATCCCTCATTAGGGGCATGAGCTCACAGCACTGTATAGCTCTTGCAGCATCTCCAGTGCAACACCTCATCAAATACATCAATTTCATTTCATCACTTAATAAAAAACTACTCAGCATGATCTCGAACTCCTTTACAAATTGTAAATAATCAGCCGGGTTTCCATCGAAACATCGTGGTTCTAATTTAGGGAGTTTGATGTTCCTATTATCCCTGAACGGCGAAACAGTAACATCAACCATGTCATGCTTAACATCAGACACATCGTTACAATTAACAGACAAGTCACCATGACTTACTTTCCTGTTTGCATCCAAGACGCTCTGTCCCTTCTTTGACCCAGGCATTGTTGAACTTGGCCCGATTCCAAAAAAGTTCCAGATATTGCTTGTTCAAAGAGGACTTGACCGGCACCAGGAAAGATGAACGGTGACTATCCAAACTGTTACCAGCTATCTGAATCGGCCAGAATCTGTTTTTACCATCAGAAACTGTCAGCCACGTCTCATAAACCGTTAATGCCCAGCTCTTGCTACGCTCGGGCCCACGCTGTTCCTTGAAGTTTTTCAGAAACGCTTAGTTATATCGGACGAAAAAACCAAAAGACCAATTGGTGACTCGTGGATTCTTTATTGTTACACCAACATATAAAAATAATATTTGAACTAAGGTTTCTGATGGTTTACTGCTGACTTCTTTCTGAACAGCGACCAATGAGACGATGACTGTCGTATTGATGCCTCCGCGAAAAATGTGGAAGTTGATTTTGAGCAAACAACCAAGAATTGATCGTTCAATCTTCAACTGCATTGACACTCCCCGGGAAAAAAGGGATCCATCCCCTTTTGTCTTCACGACCATGACACGTTGACTTGGATGCCATTGCGAGAACCTGGGTCACATGGACAGAGCTGAAATGGAAAACAAACAGAAAGGCCAACACACCACAAGCATACCCACAGCACAATCTCACACATCGCTGACGACCTGCGCCTCCAGACAGAGACCTCCTCTTGACATCTTGCAACACAATCGCCACTTGCTAGAATGACTTTTGCAGAGTGCAACGTGACCATAGCACCAACTCATGATACTCTACGCACATCCTCTTATCTACTCACTACCAATTACCACTGCAATCGCTTGTCACTCACTCTTCTTCATTTCCATTGACAGTGTACCATGCACATAGATGTTGTCTTTCAGAAGAATACCTCATATGACTATGCCAGGCCGGAATCTATGCCTATTTTATTTTAATGAACCACAAATTCCAACCTCTGATTCACTTTTATTTGAGAATGACATTATTATATGGAGGTTTGTAAATGAAAACTGTGACAGGTCAGTCTAGGAAAGTGATCTAGATACACCAACTGAATGATCAATCCTCTGAAGTTTGGAAACTACTTACAAAAAGCGTGACAGCGCACTAAGATCAGAGGTCCTACACGTCATGCTACCCGGAGGGCACATAAATCCAGTGTTGAGGGACAAAATCAATTGAGGATTCTTGCCAGTTATGGTTTGGAAAAGACTGAGATCAGAAATGAAGCTGCAGCCAAGTCTTTTACAATGCAATGGACGCCTTCAAACGATCGGATAAGTCCATGTTTAAGGTAATCCACACACATATACCAGTCCTCATCCACAATACTGTATACAAGCGGCTAGTCCATGCTTCAGGAGGAAGACAAATTTCTTGGAAAGAGTAGAAAGGGTAAAAATCAAATTATTCAATGGCTTCCGACACCTTCCTTATGTGGAATCAATTGACATTCAGATATAACACGTTTTTCGTACTGAGAAGAAGAGGTGGCTCCCTCCGGGCATATCGTATATTGAAGGTTGACTTGGGGATTGACCTTCTTAATCTTTTCTTCCCCTGCGTTATACCTCTACAGGGTCACCGGACGAATAAAATACGTGTTGAATTTAACCCCTCTCAACAACTAGAACTCTGATCGATCAAGTAGTATCACTCTCATCGATGAATGCTTTAAGGAGAAATTAGATCTCTCCATACATATATATGTATCAAGGATCAACATAGGCCACAAGGGCCTACTATTCTTATTATCTAAGTCTGAAAATTACTCAGCTTTACGTCTCGTGAAGTTCTACTTTAGGAAGTTTCAGCTGGAGTTGAACGCTACTGGGAGTAGGGAGTTATGTAAGGAGAGTGAGTTTCAGTTTCCCGTCGTTCAGATTAAAGAACCTTAGTTAACAGGTAGAAATCCCGAAATAGAGATATAATTTAGGGTCATGGTTTAACTTTAGCAGCTTTCCCTGATTATATCTACTCTTTAGAAGTTACACAGCATACGTCACTGATAATTAACTTAGTTTCTGTTATTGCTTCACGCTCCCACGTGGAAATCCCAGAAGGATAGCTCACCAAAGGGCAAGGACCCAGGTGCGCTCCCACTTCTTTTCACTGCGGGTTTGCCGTCCCTGGAATTCCTTGCGGGCAGATGTAGCTATGGCACCGTCTTTGGACGCCTTTAAGCGAAGGCTGGACAACCATGCAGCGACACAAGGACTGCATCCAAATGGCCTATCTCCTTAAAATCGCATATACCAATCAGGGGTAGATAATTAAACTCGTCGTTTTACTTCTTTACATTCTCTCCCGTCTTACTCTCCTGACAGCTTATTAATATTATAATTATTATCATTGCCGATATATATATTATTCTTCAAACTTAATGAGCTGACTGTTGTTACGCTTTCCTATTTTCGTTTCTGTCTCATAGTCTGAATAACTTCACTCATCATACCTATTATTATTGTTATTACTATCTCTTTTCTCTTGTCGACGATACCGAAGGACTAACTGGCGAAAGGATCAACTCCAACCACAGTAGTAACAGTCTTAACACACCTCATACTACAAACCACATATAATTAATCCCAGCACTACTCCCTTTGGAGTCAACCAAAGCTACGACAGTCGAGTGGCGGGACAAGCTACGCAGAAGTTTACCGAAGATCAGGAACCTATACCTTACAATCAAGAAGCGAGCACAAAGAAATCAAATTGGGTTATACTAGCTCGTAAAAACGATATTGGATATTGGATTAACAGAAACTTTCGTAGACCATTTCAAAGCTATTATGTAGTTTTTCTCTTATTGTACTCTTCGTTAGCTTCATCATAGGTAGCGTACAGTTACCCTTTCATAATGATGGTGCATTGTATTAGTTATTTGTTTTCTTGAATCAAACCTCAAGGACCTGATCATGTGGCTTTAGTGTGGATGGGCCAACCCAAGAATTCGGCAGCTCAAGGTCATCCGCTGTTTTGGTTGCTTAAGCCACCCACCTGCTGCGTGCTTAGAAAGTGATTGGCGTACAGACAAACAGCCTTGTTGTCAGGTTCGTTATTATGGTATACGATTGTAATGCATTGGAACGGCGGTCACCTAATAAACTCAGTTTACGGAACGAAAACAACCATATTTCTTTGGGCGACTTGATTAATTACATATTTGTATTACAACAAAATTCAGACCGGAATTCTAATACACAAGTGACACTGTAAGTGCTCATTCATAATAATCTACCCAGCTAGCATTTTTTTTCGGGTGCAATGCAGACATTTCGGGGCAAAAACTTCGGGTAGATCTACTTACGTGGGACAGTGTCCCGAAGTCTGCCCCAAAAAGTCTGCAATTTGCCTTAAGTCTACCCCAAAAAGTCGGCAATGCGCCCTAAGTCTTCCTCGGAATTTCAAATGGGCCCAAATTCTTCCCCAAAATGTCTGTAGTGCGCCCTAAGTCTGTCCCTAAAAGTCTGCAATTTGCCCAAGTCTGCCCCAAAAAGTCTGCAATGCGCCCGAAAAAAAATGCTAGCTGGTTACTTTTTCACATAGTGTAAATCTTAAGCATTTCGACATAAAAACATAAATGTGCATGTCAACAGTTTAATTAGTTTAGGAATATTCGACTAACAGCAACTTCAGCTCGTTAATTTGGGTGGCACCCGATGTCTCGCCTAATTCCAGATTTTCGGAAACCAAAGAGATTTTGGTTTTATATAATATAAACCTCACGGTTTCTGTCGATTTTCAAAAACTTCGGGTCCACTTAAACTCATCGCAAAGTCCTGTGAAAACTTCAAATTTCAAACGCTTGGTGAAATATGTTGCTTACCGTTACAGCGGTAAGTGGAGTTGTAACAATTTAGGTGTACATTAATAACTTTATGCACATTATTCAAAATACTGTGGAAATAACATATATATATATATATAATTTGACCACGGTATTTTCATGAAGTGTTGTCAATACTTGATGATCCTTCAAAATATAATAGTTCACAAAAGATCTAGGTAATGTTTTGTTGGTGTCTACTTTCTGTCAACAGTGTAGGATTTATAAGTACTTTAGAAACCACTTCTACTCTTAAAGATATGACTTATCGTGTAACACCACTGGGTCTCGGCATTGAATACCGATTGTTCTACTTCAGCCTGTTTGACTTTTGACGCAACTGGTGCGTGACCCATAGTTTGACACGAAAAAAATCTGTCCCTGGTATTTGGGTTCCAGTTAAATGAATCAGTTTAATTAATTAAGCACGCTTCTACACTTTCTTGAGTAGTATTCTGCATATGTTCGTGTAATTATCTTTCCTTATCTATTTAACTTCTTTAATTTTGTTAGTTGCACAGTCATAGTAATTTTATAATTTGGGTTATTTTGGTCAGTTTTAAAATATACCGTATTGTATAGCATCACCTTGTTTATATGACTGTTTCTCTTTCTTTCCAGACTGTTATTCTTCGTTGTACCAGCTGACACAACTGAGTTGCACAGGTTACCAGCTACAAGTCCTTGGTGGAGAAGTCTCAGTGGTTTGCTAGTTAATTCTGTGTAATGTTATGGCATATGAGTCCATAGTTCTGAATACAAATGATGGCAGTGTTTCGGATGAAAACATTCATAATCTAAAGGAAACTAATTACCGTGTGTATCGGACAAGATGGATCGTTGTTATTATCTTCGCACTACTTAGTTGTATGAATGCTTACTTATGGATATCATTTTCTCCAGTGGCCAATTACTTCGCCGAGTTTTATTCAACAAGTTATCTTATTCTCAATCTTGTTTCTCTCATATTTCCATTAATTACTGTCATCCTCGGGATTCCGATTGCTTATAGTATAGATTACTTAGGAATTCGTCCCATTATTTGGGGCACAGCTACTTGCAATTTAATATGTGGTTGTTTGCGTGCTGTGAGCAGTACGTCATATTTCAACATTTCATCTTCAGCGCGTCTTGCCCTATTCATCTTAGGACAAGTAATAGCATCTTTTGGTCAACCTTTTTGCTTGTTTTCTACAACAAGTCTTGCAACTAGTTGGTTCCCAGACAATCAACGTACTACTGGTAACACTATAGCATCTCTTGGTAATGCACTAGGTATAATGTTCTGTAATGCATTCGCTCCTAATTATGTTAAAAAGTCTTCTGATATCGTTAGTTTCAATTACATCACTCTCGGAATAGTTATCATTCTGTTCTTGCTATCCATTACTTTAGTTCGCAAAAGCGAACCTCCTACACCACCTTCTCATGTTGCTACCTTAGTAAAAACCAGGTACCGTGCCTCCGAAAGTAGAAACTTTCTCTCATTAAACCCTTTGCTAAGCTTCATTAACAGTTTTATTCCACTCCTAAAGTTGTATGGATTTTGGATTATTATGCTTACTTTTGGCAGCTGTATCGGATACTTCACAGTTCTGTCAACTTTTTTACAACAAATGCTTTGCACTAAAGGTTACTCCAACCAGTTTGCTGGGCTCTGCGGGTTAATTATGATAATTGCTGGTTTGATAGCATCTGGCCCCTTTGCTGTATTCGTGGACAGGACAGGATTCCTTATAGAAACACTAAAGGTTTGTAATTTTACGTGTTTTTATCCTCGTCAGAAATACGTGAATTCCGTGAAATGCTACGTATCAGTTAATATTGTTCCATGTAGCTAGTTGAAGTGCCCCACAAGTTTCATTTATTCTTAAAACCAGTCGTACTCAAGGGTTTTATGTTATTACAGCTAATGTTGATTAACTAAACCATTCAATCATAAATCTTTGCTCTTTCCGAGAATCTCATCAATGTTATCGAATATTTAGGTGACGATCGTCTTTAAATTTCGTGATTGACTTTGTTCTGATTTTGATGTTGAATTTCATCATGACTGATAACATCGACTATATTGTACAAAGATCTGTCTTTTTCAAATTAAAGTGACTCCTTAATAGAGTTTCGATACTCGTTTTGCATATAACGATTTTGGTTATTATGCTTTCATAATGTTTAAACTGAGATATTTTCAATTAGATGAATTAAGTACATCCAGAGGAAATTAAAAGATAGTTTGAATAATGTAGTGAAAATAAGTTTTACGGATTAAAATGAATTCATCTTACGTCTTAGGGTTTGTATTAGGTGATCGCACAGTGTATGGTTAAATAGATAATAATGATTATTATTGTTCGTTTCGAGTGAAACATAGAGCTTCAGCATCTCTCCACCCTATTCTCTTCTTTGCCATCGTTTTCAGTTGGCTATACAATTGCCCACAAGCTTTCATTCCCTCTTCACATAATCTCTATATCACTATCAAATGCCAGGTCTGTTGCTTCCCAGTGGGGGGGCCTGAAGTATGATTTCACTCAACGGTTCTCCAACGGCATGTTTAGTTCATCTTCATATTTGTTATTGATGGCTAGTACAATGACTGCCAGAGTTCTTTGTTGCTTATCTTTCCAATATGTCTGTCTGATGCACTAAGTTCTCACTATCTGAGGAATGACACCAGTTGAATAGTCATTTAAGTCGTTTCACTTATTATTATTTTGTTTTAGCGTCTTTTTCCGCATTTTTTCATTTACCGCCATCTATTTTCTGATTGACTCAAGATGGGGTTATAGAAATTTGTATTGATGCATGTATTCCGTTTTGTGTTGTGTGCTTCTAAGCTCCAATGATTTTCCTTCTGAACGTCGAATTTCGATGACCTTTTATTGAAGTCGGTTTATATCTACCACCATTTTTTGGCTTCCGCAATAGATCGCTTTTGCAGAATGAAGAACATCCCGTTCACTTTCGGATCCTGGAAGTAGTTGAATGATTCCTTTCAAACTAACAATAACCACCAACTTCTCACTTGAACATGAGAAGAAATCCAATCAAAGAATTCGTAAAAACAGAAGAGGAGAATAATTTTGCACTCTGTTTTCAGCAGTAACAGCAGTAAAATCCCTTCTAATACACAACTAGCGGTTGTCTGAATGGCACTCAGCTTCTCAGGATTATCTGTTAATCGTTCTAGAACTCAGTTATCTTTAGCAATATTATATCCAAATAGTATGCAGACATTGGTGTCTGCATTCAGTCTGAACTTTGAAATTGCTTACTATTGTCACTTTTCAAGCTGGTACTAGTTAAGCACTACTCGTTTCGGACTTGATACGACTTCCATTATATGTACCATGGATCATGTAACTGTTTATACAGCTAAACGACTACATAATGTATGGGATATTCTTCTTTCTTTTCAAATATATGGAGGTCTCTTCCCAAGGTCACTTCACTTGACTAAGTGAATTCTGCAGAACCCATTATTGAGGAATTCTAGTGTCCACTAATTGACTTCTGAAACAGTGTTACTAGAACTCCTTCCAAAGCCATTTTTTTGAGTGACCTGTAGTTTCCTCAGTATTAATTAATTTAGTCCTTAAGATGCAAGCTAAGCTGGTTGTTACTGATCTATCTTTCGTATCCACGTTCAACAGCTAATGGTGTCATTGATCCACTGCTTCTAAGAGTGCATTTATAACAATACAGCCTAACTGCAATTCCTTTTCGACTGATAAAGCTCTTTTCTTATATCCTTGGAGCGCAATTTCTGATGTTTTTCAAGATAACAATCACTCAGACATCTAATACCCATTTCACCTTCACAGTTAACAAGTTCACGTTTGACTGAAAACGATAACTCCTTTAAATCCAGATAAAGGCGAACTTTGTATAACTCCTTTATCAACCTTTAGAATCACTGCAATTTCCCCATATCCTATGAATGCAACATGCACACTCTTCCACGTACTTATGTAGGTCGCCAAATGAAAAATCTTTCTAGTATAGTGTTTTTTGTACTGCTACGTTTATTCATTTAAAGCCGTAATTTTACCCTAGACAAGATAGTTATCAACATTCATCCCTAATAAGCCTCATTTTGCTGGAACCAACATACTGTCATTGTTAATAGGATGATTTATCAGCCTTGGCTTTGACTATCATGCAATTTAGATCAATTCCGTCATAGAGTAAATTTATATGGTAAATCACACAGTGATACAGTACTATATACCGATTACGTTTCAGGTACAATTTATTGCTTATAATCATGTCAGTACACTGACATACTTTCCAAATTTCTTTTAATTATTCCACTGTTTCTTATCCTTTGATTTCATTGGCGGTAATACTTTCCGTATCTCTGATACTGGTATCGAGTCATTCCTATTGCACCTTTTAGGTCTGTCTGTCTGTCTGTCTGGATTCAACATAGAACTTGGCACCGAAGTGCAGCAGTTCGAGTTGCCACGTTCCAAATAGCACACAGAGGTAGACAAGAAGATGAGTGAAGAGAATTAATAGAGTTTGACAAATATAAGAGTGAAACAGAATGGGTAATGGTAGAAAGGAATATGAAAGATTACAGAGATTGAATACATCTGCGCCATTGACAACGATTTTGAGCCATGTCACCTATTGTCTCCAGCCATTGATTCCTAGAGTCCCGAGGGCCCCAACCCGGGAGTCTGCATCTCCCTACCTGACTCAGTTTAACTGTCAAGGATTTCATGGATTGATGCCATGTTTTTGTTTGGCCACCACTGGCTCTTTTCCAACCTGAACCTATATCAGCTAACAATGCCCGTCGGGGGAGGCGGTGGTTAGGCATGCGCACCACGTGACCTAGCCATCTTAGTCTATGTAACTTTATAACCTCGTCGATTGATTTTCCCTCTTTGCCCAACACTCTACGCCTAACGTCAACATTACTTACCTTATTAAACCACCTAACGTGAGACAGAGATCGCAGACATCTATGATCGAAAGCAGTCAACCTTTTCATGTCTTCAACGCGTATTGGCCATGTTTCAGAGCCATAGAGAAGGACGGAGCGAACTGATGAGCAGTACACACGTCCCTTGGTTGATAACCGGATGTCACGCCTACGCCAGAGATGGTGTAAGTCAGCGAAAGCAGCTCGAGCTTTTCGGATCCGTGCTGAGATTTCATCGCCAATCAGTCCGTTGGTGCTAATACAACTTCCCAAGTAGGTGAAGTGGTCAACATGTTCTATCACTTCACTCCCTATCACTAAGTTAGGGGTTGACGTCGTCCAGTCCTGTAGCAGCATCTTACATTTTGCAGGGGCGAATCGCATGCCAAACATACGAAGATTGCTGCTCAAGGTGTTCAGAAGACTCTGCATTTTGTCAGCATCCTCCCCTAACAGGACTATGTCATCTGCATATTCTAAGTCCATTAGATTATTCCCTGGTAACAAGTCGATTCCTAAGTCACTACGTTCAGTTAAGGATACTTCCATTAGCATATCTATGATGAAGTTAAACAGAAATGGGGAAAGTGGACATCCCTGTCGGACACCACTGGTTGTTACTAATTCAGATGACAATTCCCCATAAGCCCTTACACGACTACGTGAGTTTGAATAGAGTGCCTTGATTAGTGCAATGTACTTTCTTGGCACTCCCTTCACAGTCAGACATTGCCATAGTACTTTTCGGTCCACGGAGTCGAAGGCCGCCTTCAAGTCAAGAAATATGACAATTGTTGGACGCCGAAAAGTGTGTCTATGTTCTAGAATCTGTCGAAGAGTGAAGATATGATCTATGCACCCTCTACCTGGTCTAAAGCCTGCTTGATTTTCCCTTGTCTGTTCCTCCCGAGTTCTGCTTAGTCTATGCATGATTACTGAGCCTAGGATTTTAGAGACTATGTTCGTTAGGCTGATCCCCCTATGATTATCACACGAGGACTTGTTTCCCTTCTTGAATATCGGTATAATGAGTGACTTACCCCAGTCTGATGGTACTGTCTCTGATTCCCAGACTTTGCCTAGTACCTCAGTTAATCTACAAACTAGTATGTCACCCCCATATTTAAACACCTCCGGAATAATTCCGTCGGGTCCTGCCGCTTTGCCTCGTTTCAAATTACTGATAGCTTTTGTAACCTCACCTACAGACGGCGGACCAGTGTCTATATCCCATTCGGGTACGTGGTGGATGGCGGGGAGGTTCAGTGTGGCTGTAGGCAAGTTAAATTGTTCCTCAAAGTGTTCTTTCCAGCGTTCAAGGCGTCTATCCTGAGAGCTAATTAAGGAGCCATTTTTCTCAGAAATAGTCTCACTTATGAATTGCCTTTTCCCGCCCGATTCTGTGATGAGTCTAAAGAGTTGCCTAGTGTTGCCTATCGCCAATGCTTTTTCCATCTCTTTCGCCTTTGTCACCCACCACTGTTCACGGTCCTTGCGGAGACTTTTAGTAAGTTTCCTTTTGTGCAGCTTTCGCTCCTCATTGAATTCGGAGCTCGCCGGAATAAGTCTTCTAGCATCTATCAGTTCGGATGAGGCAGTCGAAATCCAGTGGTTTTTACTCACCTTTGGATTTGCCTTATTCACAGCTTTTACAGCTGTATCTATAGCTGACTGAATATTCTTCCAGGCTTCTCCAGGGTGAGCACAGCTGTCGAATTCAGATATGCGTTTAGCTAGTTCTTCCTCAAATAGGGATTTAGTTTCCTGATCGAGCTGGGGGCGTAATGGTTTTACCGCCAGCTGTTTCCTACGTCCGTTCAGTCGTAAGCACACACGAGCCCGGACCAGTGCGTGATCGGTATCTACACACGTGTTCCAGAAGGAGCGACAATCTCCTACCGACCCACGCCAACGATAGCTTATTGCTATGTGGTCTATTTGTGTCCAGCGTTGGTTTGATGATGGGGGTCGCCAGGTTAAACAGTGTCTCTCCTTGTGTTTAAAGTTAGTGCTTACAAGAAACAAATGATTATCTGAACAGAACTGTAGGAGACGGTCACCGTTGTCGGTTCGCTGGCACGGAACTCCATAGGTGCCACCGACATCCTTCTCAGATTGACACAATTTCCCTACTTGAGCGTTGAAGTCACCAGCTAGAACGACTATATCTGAGCGTTTAGCCTTTCTCACCAAACTAGACAGCTTTTGGTAGAACTCATCCTTCGTTTCATCCGAACTGCAGTCAGTGGGGGCGTAGGCGGAGATTACGAAAAGGCATCGGCGAGTAGTGCAGTCCTTTCTCCTTCTTACTGATCCGTTCAGACGGACAGCACACATTCGGCTATCTACTGGGATCCAGTCAAGCAATGTCTTTTCTGCCCTAGTACTCAGAGCTATCCCTACGCCAGCTAATCCCCGTGAACTAGCTGTGGCATCTCCTGACACCCTCAAGGTGAATTTTGAAGATTCATCCTGTTGGCCAGGTGGGGTTAGGTGAATAACCACACTTGGGTCTTGTATGCGTGTTTCTGAAACACAACATACATCAATGGCTCGAGATGCCAGGGTCTTAGCTAGTGATGCTTGTTGTCCTATTTGGCAAAGTGTCCTTACATTAAATGCTCCTATATGAAATTGGTGGCGTGGCTTTAGGAGACTATCCGTGGTGGTTTTTTGGCTTTCGTCGTTTTTAGTGGACACAGAGTGAAGAGGGAGTGAGGAGCCATCAAGTAGAGGAGTTGCATCACTGGGGGAAGGTAAGGTAATAGAGATGAAGATGAAGACAAAGATAAGTGAGGATTAGAGAGGTTTTGTGTGCGTTTTGGATTGTGAGGGCGATTGTTACTTCCCGGCTGCCCACACCGTGGAAGTTGGTTGCGTGACCGCAGAGCCCAGGGGACAACTGCTTGTGGCCGGTCACACGCGGCCTGTTTTTGTTCGTTCTTCGTTGTTTTGTGTGCCTCAGTAGCATACTTATCACTCCCGCCCTGTGACACGGCAGCAGGAAGCGCGGTCGTTGTTAATCCGGGCCACGGCCGATCCGGCATGAAATTTTGTGAATTTGTTTGGATCATGGTATTGGATGAGGTAGCTGCTTTTTGTTTAACCGCTATCCAAACAACCTGCCTGGCATGGTAGAACCTCAAGAGACATAAGTCTCAGCCAGTATAGCTTGATTAGGTCATTGCGGTGTTCAAGCCCGACCACCACGTCAAGGTAGCAGCTTTCGGTCGTGATTGTGGACAAAAATTCGATAGTCAACCTGTCCGTCCAGCTCTGAGTGTCTGATTTGTGTGATAATGCATGCATTGTGATTACTGAGTTTTTCTCTAACCTATTCATCTTCGTGGGATCAGTCACTCTACATTTAGCTAAGTTTTTATGTTCAGGCTTTCTGACTGCTTCTCTATAACACATAATCAGTAAATACTACTGTATCACTGTGCTTTTATGAAATAAATTTACTCCGTGATAGAATTATGCTCTACAACACCAACCAAGTTTCCACTTTTCTTCTTTAGATATTTTAACACCTGTTCCACCTATGAAGCATTACTTCCGTGGCTTTATTAATATAAAGTTGAACGTGTTAAGTTACTTAGAATTCGTGTGTTTTCTACTTGATCATAAGTTGGAGTTCTAGTATGAATAATTCAGTAGACTTGCGAGTTACCATTGAAATCCAGTACTCTGTACTTCGAAGTAGAAAATCATGAATACACATTATTAAGAAATAATAATGTAATAAGTAATCTTGTCAATAAAACTGAGAAAATGCTACAATATTTTTGTGATGTAACAAGAAGTAATCAAATGAGGACCAAGATGAAACAGAAATATTTGTGTTGCTAATTTTAATGCCTATTTTACGCCCATATGACCGGGCGTCTTACATAGCCTCTCCTGAGGAAGTCCTACTCACTGCCTTCACGTGGCGGAGGTGTTTCTCACCAAAGTGAGAGGGCGAAAGCGGATGCCCGGCGCTCTCCACCGGGTTGACTGTCCATTGGATGACGGTCTAGGGGAGATGGCTAAACCCTGATTCCAAACCTTCAACGACTGGCGTATGAAGCTCACTGGAGCTCACTGGCAGACGTATGGACAAAGGGCTTGTTGGGTGTCCTGGATGTCTGGCCCCATTCAAAAAGGCGTATGAACCGAACTCCGGTCACCGGCTGCCAATGGATAGTGGACTCCTTACTCCACTCCTACTGCCTTGTAGGTCACACTTGGCTGTGTAAAGGCTAGAGCTGCGCTCTCAAACAAAAGGCCGAGCGATGCTGGGGACATCACTCGTACCAAATTCCCATGAAACTTCATGAACTCTCTTACAAATTGCCGCGCCTGGGCAGCGATGATTCGAGACGTGCATGAAGCCGGCTCATCCTCCCGTAGGAGATAGCCGAAGTAAAGTAAGTAAGTAAGTTTACTTAACTGAAGGAGAGTTTCGAGAATTGATATGGCGGTTCCAGCCCAGATAATCCAATGGGCTTACTTTTTCGCCTATAATGTTGCCGCTACTAGTGTTTATGAGGTGTCGATATATTTGACATGCTTTTAAAAATTGTTAATTGAACAGTTTTTGATAAATAGAAAAAATATGGCCATTTCTCAGATTATATTACTCACTTCAAAGTCTGTGAATGAAAAACTGAACAGAGTGATGTCTGCGCAGACTTTGGTATTCGGTCACTACCAGCAGATATATCTAAGTAGTGGTAACTAAATATTCATCCTATAAATATTTGAATTTTATTTCTTCTGTAAAATTTCTGGGTTGTAGTTTATATCATCTTAGCCGCACTATTAGGTTAGTATAATATCAGATTTTTGTAGTGAAACACAAGTGAACTTAAATTTATCTACGCTCAATGATCTTCTATTTCGATGCCTGCCAACCATGTACGTGGTCCGGGAGCCGATTCCTGTCCAGCGACGCACTAGCTCAGCTGGTAGGTTAGCCTAATGACGAGGGAAGGCTGAGTGAGAGACTAGCAAGTCCAACGCGTAAAAGAAATACACCACCGCCACTGAAACTTCACAGCTTAAGCCTAAGACCCTGTTCCATTTGAGGCGCAAAGGAATTGAAAAAAATCTGTTTTTTTAAATTCTAAAACGCATTATTTGGTGTATGTTTTTTGCATCCATTGTATAGAGAATTAATTTCACACTGAAGAAGACCCAATTAGCTCTTAAAGAAACTTCATGCAGTTATTCCTCTTGATAAACTTGAAACAAGTTCTGTGTGTTTCTCTTGCTTTGTTCAAGATCTCTTTTCATGTTGACTATTTGAATATTCTGAGTTATGTGCTTTCGTCAATACCATGTAAAACGTTTACTCAATTGTTACACACTAATACTTTTTATCGCTCCAAACTATTATAATTATTTCAATTTTTGAAGTGTCTTGTAAACCAGTCGAAATGACGTACGCTTATGAGAGAAATTAATTATAACTGCTTACATTTTCTTTAAAAAATTCGATACCGCACAGGAAACGAGCATGTAAGCTCACCAGAACATCTAGCGTGTTTCGTGGCGAATTACTTTTAATTTTGAATGTATCATCAGAGTATACAACTGTGGTGTTTAATTTGTTCATGAGGACACGAAATGGTATTTATTCAATTTAGGAATTTTATTTATGTGATTGATTCAAATATTCGTAAATCAATATACAAATGATTAAATGTGCCGATATTTTCATAAAGGTTGAAAGCTGAATTAATTATGCCCAGTTACTGACTACACAGACACTAGTACTCAAATATTTGCATGCGATTTACTTGGAATGTTCAGGATGATAATAAGTTATAAAGTAATCTCAGCAATAAGAATAAAGTGGTTATGTAGCCCTCGCTTCTATAAAATAAATTCTTAGTACTAACAAATAGCAGCTAATTTCCCCACGTTTTACTGGTCAGGGAGATGTCTACTTTTTGTATTTCGTTTGTCACTCTACTTAGTTTTTTGTGCACAAGTTATTAGCATTTGCCTATTATGTACTCTCTAATTACAGATTACATTTATACTAAGTGTACTGGGTTGTGTTGGTCTTAGTATTGTATTATGGTTTTCGTATCAACAAGTTGCCACCACCTTTTGCTTGATTTGTCTTGGTGGCTTCGGATTCGCACAGTATTCTCTCTCTTTGGAAATGGCTGCTGAGGCTGCTTACCCAGTATCTGAGTCAGTGACAACCAGTTTACTTATCATTTCGTCTCAACTAATCGCTTTCATCATGCTGCCAGTTATGCAATTTTCCGCTCCCCTGGCAGGAAATTCAACAAGCATAACCTCTACTTGTGGTCCGGAAGAAATGATTCAGGTAATGAAATTTTGATGACTGCGTTTTCCATTATTTACTAAGGGTATACTTAAACATATTCTTAACATTTAACTCAGTCTTCAGATTAGTCTACACCCAATAAATACTCTGTGGTATCGTGACGCTGATCATATTTTAATGGGAATGCTTCTACAATTCCTTGGAGAGTAAAGTAGCAGTCTTATAATAGACATTTGTCGCTGCAGGTATAGATAACAAATACAACCAATTTTGTACACTAACTCGTGAACTTTTAGCGTTATAATTGAAAGTTATTTGAAAATTTGTTTCGTCACCGAATCCGGCGTTAATTATTGTGTCAGCACGGAAAGGATGCTGCTGACTACTAGTGTATAATCCTGATATCCTTGCCTAAAACAAATTGATACAAGACGATCCACAGTAAGTTGTTGCTTACTCATTGAGTCCAAACCGTGCAATTTCCTGTTTCTTGAAACAGCTAAAAACTAGGTCGTTGTTCATACAAAATCACATTCTGATGCTATTATTCTAAAGCATGAATGCCAAATCTAGTTATTCCTGTTACTACTTCCAAATGAGAAGTTTCCGTTGCATTCATCTGACTTGTTTTTTAACGACTTTACAGCTGAATTCCGCATCCGAATCTTGTACACCTATTTTAATAGTTATTTGTTACAATCGTAAGATAAAACCGAAATCATGAGTAGGTGTGTTTGACAGAAACTAAGCGAATCTTCTGTATGTATACCAAGGTTTTGCCAAATACCAACTCATCAAGGCTCATACAAGTTATCACGTTGCCGCGAAAATTCAGTATGCGTAAAAACTGATCACCAAACACAGAATATGCTTTTCGATAACTTTTCTAATAGATTTCACAGTTATATATTTATTCATGATAGTTGCTATTGCTATTGACAACCGTTATGCTTTTTAAATAACATCAAATCGTCTAGATCAATAGATCAGAGTTCAAAATATGTTTATCTAAAATGTACGTTGTAATATGGTATTTACGAATTTATAGATCCTACAACAAGCCAGTTTAGCAACAGTAGCTGGACACTTGTATCTTTCGTACACAAAATCTCAGCCGCTCTAAACGAATTGTTATATCTTCTGCTATGTTGAAGTATTCAGTACCTAATGGCTTTAGTCAGTTTTTTTTGACTTATGATAGACGACAAGGAAGGACTCTTTTATGCTGGCCTTATGATCCGTTTAGAACAGGTGATCTAATATCGAACTGCTAATGCCTTTTTGTAGCCTTGCTGGTAGGTATTCACGAATACGTAAAATAGGCTGTTACTCTAGGAACCTAAATTTTCAGGCACTTTAAAAAGTCAACTTCCAGGGTGTAGACAGCCGAAAATCGATAACAGCTGAAAAACTTTGATAAACATAGCAGGCTTTTCTTACCTTCATCCTACTGCCAGTACTATTCCTTAACTCTGTGACTGCCCCTAATCTCTTAAAACCACAGTACTAACTTCACTTTGAAGCATCCAACTCCTGAACACTATGCCAAATCGGATATCAGAGATTGCTAACTAGAGCTGTGGCTTTTTAAGGTTTGGATGCATACCGTGCCTTTGGGACCCAGATTCACAGCGCAAGTGTGGTTATTCATTGAGCTTGTCCGAGTCAGCATGGTGAATATGCAAAACTCATCGTATGTGTGTCAGGAGATTATTCGGCTGCTTCGTGTAAACTGTTTGGCGTAAGAATAGCACTGAGTCTTAGAACATACAACAGGTTATTTGGTTGACTCCAACTGGACAGTCATATGTGTATTATCCGGCTGAACGGATATGTAAAAAGGATGAAAAGTTGTAATATTCGTTGACGCCCTGTCATAATCTCCGCCAACTAAACACATTCCGAATGAAGTAATGTATGAGTTATCAAAAGCCGTCTAGTTTGCTTCTAAAAGCAAATGGTCTCAATACTGAAGTTGGGACGCCGTGTCAGTCAAAACAGCATACTGTAAGTATCTGTAGAGTTCGTGCAGACGAGCCGACAACGGTGGTTGTCTTTAACAATTCCGTTTAGTTAGCTATTTGTTCCTGATCAGTACTCAGAGCTTCCAACATTAGGTCGCTGATAAAAGCAAACAGATCGCCTGACCATCAGTTGTTATTGAAAACGATCAGCTCCTTCTGGAATACCTAAGTGGGCTCCAATCATGCCTCATTTTGTTCACGCGTAAGTTTTTCGTTGAATAAAGGTGACAGGCAAGTAGATGCAAAGTAAAGACAAAAGATAGTTGAACACATCTGAGCATGACAACAGAACTGATTCTAAGAAAACTTGATATAATATCTAGTCTACTGTAAAAACAGTGATAAATGCTATTGATGAGCTAGCCAGAAATTTGTAGATTCCTACAATTTCTTCTGAGCTGATATATGTAAGGGTGATAATAATGGCTGGCTTTGAACCTGTTGTTGAGCTAAAGCACATCAAATTTCTCCTCCCGGGTAACAGGCATAGAGAGCGAAAGAACTGGAAAAGGCTTTAGCAGTAACCAATACTAATCAGAAAAATAAGTTCTGAAAAACCTATGGCAAGCGAAACAAACTCTTAAAAATATTAAAATATATTATCGCAAAAGAGATTATTGCATACTTGGCAAAATATTCTGTAAAGCAGTTCATTTGAACTACAGCTACATTGAAGTGTCTACATGAGTTTGAACTTACACATTGGTTCTCCAATTGTAGCGGAGGCTGTAAAAGCTGTCTACAGTCTGAAAATATACAGTGTAGCGTAACCTGATGGCATGATTTCAAAGATGTTTAAGGATCGTGGTGATGAATTATTGACTCAGTCATTAGCCAATGCGTGGGACTCCGAGATAGTTCCAACGCACGAATATCTGTCACAAATGATCTCGTTTTCTAAGGTGAAAAAGCAAGTCTTTCTATGGTAACCACAGTTGAATTAGTATCTAAGATTTTGGGTCTGGTAATTTTTGAAAAGGCTGAGAGATGCTCGGGAAGTATGAACCCATGGAAAGCCTGCTTGAAGGTAAGCTCGAAGCCCGGGCGAGTGGGCATTGATCATCATGTCTTCATCCTTCGACAAGCTTTTCAACAAAGAACTACTTATCGGAATTCGATACTCGCCATATATTTTTGATGTGCTGTTGACATTTGATTCGGTCAATCGAGAGGTGTTGTAGCGATTTTTGGCAATGAAGAGAGTGATTCGAAAGTATATTGTATTAAAAAAGAACTGTACTCTAACTGGTTGAGTCTTATTATAGCTTGTTTGGAGTTTCCATTTGAAGTGTCTTTAAACAGTAGTGTTTTTCAAAGATGTTCACTGTCACTATTTGTAATTTCATTAATGGATATAGACTTTGCTGTCGTTGGTGCCCCAGGTGTTGATATTTTACCTGGATAATTTCGTTGGTTTGTATTATGCAGATAGTGTTCTTTCAGGTGAACACGCTGACAAAATACATACTTTGTGAACAATCTGAGTGTGTTTGTCATCTCATCTCCATCAAATGTAAGATAATGATGCACTTGTTTTTTTGTCTGGGGATCGATGGTGGAGTGTTTGAGCGTGTTAACCACTCCACTTATTTGTAAGGTTGTTTCAATTGTGATGGTTTGATTTTTGACGAAATGTCAGCTTGGATAGAAAATACCCGTTTTGCATTTGTTGACTATTCAGCATTCCTCCCTGTTCAGAGGCGCGACATGGCTATTAAAAGTGAAAATTACAAAGATACCAGCGGATTCTCTTTATGAGTGCTTCTGTCCACTCTCATATTTTACATGTAAGCAGCTGCACCCAAATAGGTGTTGATTTTTGGTGTCATGGATCTGCATCTTGTTATTATTCAGAACCCGAACATTTTTACTAGTCGTCAATTAGTTGTTACCATTCCTGTGAATTTTGATCTATCTTTATTTCAATGTGTTCCTTTACCTTTATTATGTGCTTTTCAGATTTTTGACAACACATTTTTTGCAAAACTCTACGTTGAAAATACGATCAGTCGATCCTGACTCATATGATATGAATTTTGTCTGTGCAACATCTTAGTTATGAGGGATAATTAAATAACTAAATTTGGCTATGCTGTGCATCTCTCAGAAGTGCAATGTTCATCCAGCGATTAAGATCTTTTCGTTTTAGCTATAGAAACCTACTGTGTGATGCGGTCTAGGTTTTGGTTGATGAAAGATTCAGTACTAACCTAACAGTATGATCTTAATAGACTAAAAATAGAATTTCTCTGACTAGTCTTTAGCAATGGGAGAGGAGGTAGAAAGAATCCCGTTAACACATTGGATTTAAAGTTTGACTGCAATGGAAATGCTGTATAATGAAAGAAGAATTATCAATGCTTATTGAGTCCTTTGTCCGCATCGTAGACGTTAGTTTCCGTGTAGACTCGGTCATGGTTTTGCATGACTTCAAGGTCCAGGAAATACGTTCCAGATGCCAGTCACATGTAATATGTTCCAAAGTGAAGTTTTCTTCATTGGATCAGCTTTATGTTCAGGTACATTTCACTGTACTTTTGCTTAGTTGTCATGTGCAGTTTTCGTGGCAGAGACTCTTTCACATCTCTCTGCACAACAAAAAGGGTAATCTAGCTAGTTTATTGACTAACGTAATGACTTTTCAGCTCAGCACAACATTTCTTTTGAGAATTAAGGATTTAGAGGGATCATAATGAACAGGAATGTACGGGAGAAAGATTATTTACACAGATAATAATGACAATTTAAGGAATCTGGGAGATTACATAGAGTTGATGCGTATATATAATCATACAATATCTAGAGCATTATTGTTTTGTTTTATCACTATTCAGATTGTCATAAGTGAGTTCGCCTCATTTGCGAATTTATTTCAGATGTCTATCTGCTATTGAAGTTTGTTTTGAAGGCTGGAAACGTCTGACCATATGAACCTTAATTCATATTTACATCTGATGGTGCAAATAGGGTTATCTGATCTTGAGTGTTAAGCAAGCTCTCTATGGAATTCGGCTTTATACACTGACAATC